TTACATATGATACTCTCTAAATCAATTTCTTTTAACATTTATGCATAAATAAACTTTGCATGTGCTGCACTTGATGAAAGGTCGTGCTTTAATTTTATTTTTAGAGCACACTTCACATCTTCCACGACTAGAACTCTGGCCAATGGATGCCAAGATTTTCCTTCCGAATTGATACTGGAATAGAAAAATTTGACTTTCTTCTTTTGTTAGTAGACAACTGACATGATCAATTTGATGAAATTGGTCGCCCAATTTTTGGTGGTTTACCTATTGTTATTAATGATTGTGCCGCTAATCTTTGAAAATTGAGAAAACTAATACTATTATCTTTCAATTTCTTGTAGACAACATAAGCATTGCAAACAGTCTTATCAACTAAGCCAAAAAGAACGCGGTGCCATCACTTTAGAAATTTCCTGGATGTGCCATAAAGAGAACAAAGCATAACAGCTTCGTCGACACCCCCCATATAAGTGTTATAGTCTTTTACAGCCTGAGGATATGAGATCATCACAATACTGCCATCTTTGTTTTTTCGTTTGATCTCTGTTTTTTCAGTGCCATGAAAGTTTGATATGATATGCACTGGTCTATTATCCATCCATTTATAAACTACAATGTTATCTTTAAAAACTCTGTAATCTAAGTCCCCCCTCTTCAAATTTTTATCTTTACATAAATTTTTAGGCAGATACTTTTTATCGATACGCAAAGTTCCACAACACATAACATAATGTGAGAATAAATACTCCATGAAAGGAACAGATGTGAAATAGTTATCAATGTAAACTTCGTGATATTTTCCTTGTAAAGATTTTGTCATTTGATAAACAACATTTTCACCTAATCCAAAATACTTTGGCATTGTATGATCAGTACATTTATTGTTCTTTCCCTGATATATTTCAAATTTAAAAAGATACAAGGGTTGAATTAACGCATCGCGATTTGCGATATCTGTTAAATTATCTGGTCTTCAAAGTTTCAGTTTATGGAAAACCACGAAATTTACGGAATAGGCGAATAAACTTTAATTTGTTTGTGAAAATGTTATGAAAAACAAAACATTAAATTTATGACTACAAAAGTATTAATACTACAGTGTTGTTACTTTTATAACACTCTTTTATGTTACATTTATAGTTTATTGTTTGATCAAACAACACATAATCAAGATATTATAAATAAAAATGATTTAGTTAAGTAATTCCAAACTTTAATTAAAGTAGTAATGCATCTTGAAAAAATACAATGGATATTTAAACAATGTTAAAAACCTCAGCAACTTTTACGAATACATATATTTATAAACAGTTTAGCATTTTTAAACATCTTACTAACGGTCCGGAAAAAACGCGCGTTCACTTTAAAATCAACCAATAAAAAAACTGGTAATTTACTTGTTAGGAGAAATCTATATTAAAAGGGGAGGGGGGGAGGAGGCTATAAACTTAAATTTTGTTTTATTATTTAATCAATTAAATCATAATAAAAGTAAAGACAAAAAAATATATTTCTAAATATACTTCTTTATAACTAAAATTTATTGAATTGAACACCTCTGTTTTTAGTTTTAAGTAAATGTCAGTACTACTCTCAGTGTCGAAACTGCGGGGGAGGGTTTAATCAAACAATAAACTATAAATGTAACATAAAAGAGTGTTAAAAAAGTAACAACACTGTAGTATTATTACTTTTGTAGTCATAAATTTATTGTTTTGTTTTTCATAACATTTTCACTAACAAATTAAAGTTTATTCGCCTATTCCGTAAATTTCGTGGTTTTCCATAAACTGAAACTTTGAAGACCAGATAATTTAACAGATATCGCAAATCGCGATGCGTTAATTCAACCCTTGAGATATCCATCCATATCAGCCATCGACCAAAGCTTGTATCCTCTTTTAATTGGTTTCTTAGGGTTATATTGTTTTAAAGAGCTAGGACCTTTAAAAAGTATCATGCTCTCATCAATACTAAGATAACGCGATATATTGTATAACTTGGTAAAGTTATTATTCAAACTGTCTATCAATGGACGCAATTTATATAATTTATCTGTATTGTCAGCTGGTATTGCAATGTTGTTGTTTAAATGTCTATTTAAACAACAACAAATCTATTTCGTGGAATGAAATCTGAAACAAATGGCACTGTCAAATCGGTTTCATTACTCCAGAAGTTTCTCCAGGAAGGAAGCTTATGATACCCCATTACCATATTGATTCCAATGAAAGCATATAAATCGTTTTTTGTTACCACTGGAACTTTTTTCTGTAACTGATGTATATACAAACTACTCTGATAAGTAATTGGTTCCATAATTTCATCGTCAAAGTATTTCAAAAAATAATCTACTGGGTTTTCGCATTCATCAAAATGAACATTTACAGGACCTGTACATGAACAAATGATTCAAAATTTTTTTACTTATCATTACTAATTATTAATTGATACATTAATAATCATTAATTTATGTAAAATATAGAATATATTCAACAAGTTCTAACTATTGATATTTGATGCCAAACAGGAATCTATCAAGTACCTACCTTGAGGTTCATGAAAATCAAGTGAGATCATCCTTTTTTCTTTTTTTTTTCCACTTTCTGTCTTGATCCACAACAAAATTGTCTTTGTTAGATGCAAGACCATATGAACTACCAGAATTATCTGGTAATGCTATATTATTATTTTCATTATTTGAATTGGAATCAAAACTTAACTCTCTGTCATCTTGCTCAGCTTGAATTCGGTCTACTAATACAAAATCTTCATCCTCAGAATCTGATAATTCCAGATCACTGTAATTTTCTATTGGAATATCTTCTAAAATAATATTCGCATCTTCAGCAGCAGAGTAATACCTTTTTTGACTCATTTTTCACTAAACTTTTTTACTAAAAGATTGCAAAAAATAAACATTTCATACAAGACTTCAAAAAGCCTGATTTTATGATATTTGTCCCACAACTAGTTACCAAAAAAATAAATAAAAAAAAAATCATAATGCAGATGTAAAGTGTAGATTATTTTTATTCTACTAAGATTAAATAATTTATAAAAAAAGTTTCAAAGGTATAGCATGATCCTTTAAAGAACTACATATTATAATGTAGCTTACTAAATCTAAGCAACATATTTTGATTGTCACTGTTTTATGATATGAAAAGATTAACTTAAAAAACCCGCGAATAAGACAAAAAGTTGTTTTGAAGTATTGCCTAACTATGTGACAAATGTTTTGATTTATTTTCAAACGGATATAAACAAAAGGTGAACTTCTATATAGTTTTAAATGAACCGGGACATATATGTCCCGTCAGGCCGGAAAGGGTTAACTGATTATACTGATATAAATAGATTAAATGTTTATATACACGTACAAATATTTTCAACAGGTGATTCAAGAGATGCTTAGTTAAAGAAACACAGTTATTTAAGACTGTATGTATGATGCAGCTCTATGGCTTTACTTTATATACATAGTATATATATATACATATATATACATAGTGTATATATTTTGTTAAATCTACAATCTTATTACAAAAAATGTGCTAAAATATTATTTGGCTATGACAAGTATTCAAAATATGTTTAATGAGCTGAGCCTGCCTACTCTAAATAATTTATTGCTTTACTGCAGTTTAAAAATCAGCATGCATGCACAGTAACAATGTTGCTGTTTATGCATTAAACAGAACTATTAAATGATTGTATGGACTTAGTACTTGCACTTATTGTGTCAAATGTGTGTGTGTGTGTTTATATATGTATGTATGTATGTATGTATGTATGTATGTATGTATGTATGTATGTATGTATGTATGTATGTATGTATGTATGTATGTATGTGTGTATGTATGTATAATATTATATGTTTACGTATGTATATATAGTATTATATATGTATGTATATATAAACCTAAAAAACTTTGTTAAAATAAACTATTTAAATAAATTAATAACATAAAGTTCTAGGTTTAAAAAATGAAGAAACTTACGATATCTGCTCAAGATTTACAAAATTTAAATAGTGGATCTGGACTTGTGATGGCAGATGACTTTTGTGTCCTTGGCGATCAAGAAAATAAAAATGCAACAAGAAGAGTTGAGCATGGTAAATATGTTTTAAAATTCATTGAGGGTTAGAACTAGTTTATTACGACTATCAAATAATTTGACTGTCAACTAAATTAACTAATATGTTTTCTAAAGTCAATTAAAATCAACTAATACATTTTTAAAATCAAACAAGTCAACTAAAAGTCAATTCAGTCGAAGTATGGGAATAATTTATTTTGAAATAAATAATAATAAAAATAATAAAGTAATTTATATTTATTATTATTATTTTTTTTTAAATAATATTATTTTAATAATGGAGCAAAACAATATATGAACAGTGCTGCTTCGACAACAGGACAATCTATTTCCAGACCCCAATGATTTAGAGACCATCTTGAATACTTGCTATCATTGTGTCACAAAATGACTTTTAGTTTGAGTCTTTTTTCCTGAGAAAAACCTTTGGGGGTATGATCATACACGTATGTAGGAGTACATTAGAGTTGGTTTTGAAATCTTTCATCATCTGAAAAATTAAATTGAAATTTTGATTTTTTAGCCAATTGACAAGATTATTAATCAAATGAAATAAAATATTTTTTCACATAAAATTTTTTTATTTTTGTCACTTAAGTTACTAACAAAAATAAGCAACTTGTTTAAGTAAGAGTGCCTAGGCCCTTTATTGGTTTTAAATTTCCAGGAAAGCAAACAGTTTCATTGTGCCTTTTGAGCAAAATACAAGTGCAAAACTATTTTAAATGTCGAATTAAGCAAAAACTAATGATGACTACAGAAAAACTGTCTGTTTTCTCTGTTTGAAAATAGCTAACAGGCAGCTGAATGACTTTATGATTAAACACTGTCAAGAAGTTTTTGGTCAAGCTATCAACTTTGAAGATCAAAGAGTCCCAATTGGTATCTGCGAAAACTGTTAAATAAGCCTTAGAAAAAAAGACAATAATGAAGATGTTCAACTTCCCTCACTGTCTGACAACCAAAACATAAAAAGTCGTCCTGCAACAGAGAATCATCATGCGATTGTGTGATTTGTTATGAGGGAAAAGCTAAGTTTGGAAGTCCTCAGCTGATTGGAACAATAAACACAATCAGTCAACCAAAAGAACAGCCATTTGTTAGGAAATGTTGTTCAACATTCTCACTGATTGGAAAAGGGATTCCATATAACTGTACAAAAAAATGCTTCGACAGAACTTGCTTGAAGTTGCAGCAAAAGACACAAAAGCAGCAGAAAGAGTAGCTGCTTCTGTTATAACTAACAAGGTTCCATCACCTCATGACACTGTGCATCTTAGTCAAGGAATAGGAAGGCATCTTTTAGTTACTCCAGATGAAAATTACTTTCTTTTAATCATATATGCTTAATATGCTTTTATTTTAGTGACTCTTTTATTACAACAAGAAAACTTTATAATATGAGAAACTATTATATTGATGTAAAATTTTTTCCCAAGGCCATAGAGACAAAGAAAACTTTTTTCAGAAGCTACATGAGTGCTCAACATTTGACTGCTCAACATTTTCTACAAGTTCAGAACCAGACTGGGCTTTCAAGCACTTAACAAAGTAGCTCCCCAGCGAGTAGTTGAAAAAAGCTTCAAGAAAAAGTTTTTGTCTCTTGAAAAGCATCTTTCTGACATTTGTCACTTCAGAAATTTCAGACTCATCCAAATGTCTATTGGTATTCTGCAAAGATGTCAAAGCTCTAGGAAACACTTTAGTTCAAAACAGAGGTCCTCAGTCAAATGAGCTTTAAAAAAATGAATCAAATGAACTTATCAAGGTGGGAACTGATTTAAGATGGGGGTATCTGAATGTGTCTTTAAAGGCTCTTGAGTTGAAACCAAATGCTCCTCCCATAACTAAGAAACCTTTCTTTGAGGACTCAAGAGTGAAGCAACAACCTTTGGTCACAGAAAATCACTCTGAAAATGATGGCAATGTAAAGCAGATCACGGACAAGTTGCAGTTTTTTTACAGGAAAACATACGATTGCACATCATTATATGACCTGGCAAATCACATTTTGCTCTAACGATTTGACTGCAGCTGTTTCAAAAAACATTTTAAAAATGCGCTGAATGTAAGTTATTCTGAATTATACTTTAGGCGAAATGAATTACATCAAAATTTCTAAACAAATGTTTTTATATTAGCGAAATGCTTTTAAATAAAATAACAATTTACTGATAATGATTTTTTTTAAAGTATTATTGACAGTTGTATATAATTTTTTAAATTTTCATTATATAAATTGTTAAAGTATGCATTTTTAAAATAAATGTTATTAAAAAATAAATAATTATTTTGTTTTTATAAATAATGACTTTCTACGACAACAAAAGTCTCTTTAATGAATTTGAATATAAAAATAATTAAAGTTAATACATTTAAAAAGCTAAATAAAGTTTCGTTGAAAAAAAAAAAGACAAATGTTTTAAAAAGACATGAGTTTAATAAGTTTGATCTTTAATGCTTTTATCTTATCGAAACACTTTTTAATGAAATACCAAAACACTTCTAATGAATTTTTATAAATTTTATTAACCTGTTTTATTTATATATATATATATATATATATATATATATATATATATATATATATATATATATATATATATATATATATATATATATATATATATATATATATATATATATATATATATATATATATAACATATATATATATATATATATATATGTATATATATATATATATATATATATATATATATATATATATATATATATATATATATATATATAAATAAAACAGGTTAATAAAATTTATAAAAATTCATTAGAAGTGTTTTGGTATTTCATTAAAAAGTGTTTCGATAAGATAAAAGCATTAAAGATCAAACTTATTAAACTCATGTCTTTTTAAAACATTTGTCTTTTTTTTTTTCAACGAAACTTTATTTAGCTTTTTAAATGTATTAACTTTAATTATTTTTATATTCAAATTCTGGTTCTGGACATTTAGCTCCATTTAAATTGATTATACAGGCCTCCAAGCAGCAGGTGCCCAAACAAAAAAAGCCAGGGACTTTCAGAATCTTGTGCATAAGTCAGTTACTAAGTTACCTGAAAGAACACTTATCTTGGTCTTCATTCCACTCATGGAACTTCACTTGCTTCTTGGTGCTGTTAACCACCTCTTCAAAAGTCTGTCTGCAGTGGGAAAAAGCACCAGTGTTCAAAAATGATGAATTTTCAACAAGAACCTCTTTACAGAGGGCAATTTGCTTGCAGAAAAGCATTCTTGTTTTTTAGGATTTCCACTCATTAACACATTCAGAAAGTTTGATGCAGTTGCTCATGCCTCTATTGGAAATGTTCTTCAAGATCATCACATCTTTATTGAAGAATTCAAGGATTCCTACCTCAAGCTTCCAAACACCAGTCACTCATTTTTCAATCCTTTTTTTTTTTAAGTTGCTTGATCTGTTAAGCTAGAATCTAATTTTTTTTTAATTTTCTGAAGAATTTGAATGCTTGAGTTTGAATTTGAAGAATTTGAATGAATGAGTTTGTTGTTTCTAAGTACACTGCTTATTTATAAAAATGTTAAACAAGTTTCAAATATTTTCAATAGAAAATGTAATTCCAAACGAATTTCATTTTCTATTGAAAATATTTCAGAGCAATGAAATCGAAAATTCAAATCAATTTTTCTTTCATGGACGATGATGAAAAATTTCAAAACTAACTAATGTACTACTACATACTTGTACCATCATATTAAAAAGTCATTACAATCATATTTACAATGTGACTGTAAATGTGACATTTAGATTTTGAAGCTTCACAATTTAGTTTTGCCCCAAGGCCTCGAGCCAGCTTTGAGCGGCCCTGGTTAGTAAACAAAAAACTAGGTAATAGTTATACTAGTACATACTATTGTTATTAAGTAAACAAACATAAACTAAAGATTGAAAAGTTAAATTGAATGAAGAGATAAAGATTTTTATGCAACTAAATTTGACTTTTAGTCGATTAGTAGGAAGTCCATAGTGTATTAAATCGACTATTCAATTTTTTAAATTTCGTCTTTCAACTAGTTAACTTTAGGTTGATTTAGTCGAAGTCAATAAAAATACTAGTTAGAACAACTTTTAAAAATGGTTTGCATTAGTGATGAGAATGTTTTCAAAATGATTTTTAGTAAAGACAAAAATATTTTAAAACAACTTTGAAGTTACACGTGAATAATTTGTTTCATCTTTAAAATCTTTTACTTTTAAAATTTTCAAGAAAAAAAATTTAAGAAATTCAATCAAATTGTTTTTTTATTGCAATTAGCTTTGCTATTGATGATAAATTACAGATTTTTAACTGGTTAAAAAAATATTATTTCAAATTTATAAAGTTTACTTTCGTTGTTGTTGTTGTTGGCATTTGCTTATCATTTTAATTTATTAAATTTTTAATTTATATTACATGATAATTTATTTATAATTACATAAATTATGTTTATATTGCAGGCCTTGGTGGGAAGTAAGAACTTTAGCTCTCGCTCTTGCCTACACTCCCCTAATGTTATTTTCGGGGGCAATTTATGGTTCTCACAAAAGTATAGTTTTTTATAAATATAAACCACTTTCTTTTTATCTCTACAAGATATTTATTAGAATAGTTAAAAACTCTTGTGCAAACTACATCAAATAAACAAAAAACAAAGTTCCAGTTTCAGATTGATTTTTTTTATTACATAATGTAATTGTTTATTTTCAGTAAAGTTCTATTAAATAAATGGATAGCTAGTGTGAAAACCTAAAGGAAACACTTGTCTAAGGAATTTTTTTTATGTAGCTATAAATGACTCTCATTATGTATATATTCTGTTAACAATAGCATTACAAGCAAATGCTTGAAGCAAAAGTCAAATTAAATTTTATATTTAACAAGTAATTTATTTAATAAATAAACAGATAACTCGTCCAAAAACCGAATGCTCTCAAAAAAAAGCTGTTTAGATGAGCAGCTTGTATGACTTGCCATGTTCGTTTTATGAGAGCTTTTCTCCGCTCCTTCACTCATTTACTCTCGCCGAGGCCTGATATTACATAATTATTTAATGTAATTTAATGTAACACATAAAAATATTTAACGTTACACATAAAAATATTGCCTTATAAAGTAAAGTTGGATATGTAATTTTTTATAGTTCAGTTATGTTTTTTATGATGTAAAATAGTTTGTGAACAATAAAAGTTTATGTTATTAGATCTAGTTAAGGATTTCCTAAATGACCCCGAAGTCAAACAACCTGATGAATTTAAAACAAATACGGTTGTCAAGTTAAAAGTAAATGTTATGGAATCATCAGGGTTATCAATAGAACAGCTACAAGACAAATATGCTGACATTGCAAAATTAAAAATATTTCATGTTGCCGGTATTCTTTTATTAATGATGTTTTTTTTATCTTTTTTGGTCTTTTATCATATCCATTAATAATTTTTTATTAAATAGTTTTCATGTTTATAATTTTTTCTAACAATAGGCGATGATCTAACGGGGCGTCCAGTTATTGCTTTTAGTGCTTGTCGCTTACCAAACCGCAAGGATATTGATCATCAACAGTTGCTATGGTTTTTTTTTTCACTTTTTCACATTACTCAGAATTAGATTTACATATTATATTTATTTCTAAATAATTGAATATTAAAAATGTTATATTTAAAAAAATTCTTGTATATATATAGCTTATAGTTCTGAATTGTTGAATTTGGTTTTCCAACTTTTTAAACAGATAAAATGTTTTTAGTTTTTTAAAAGAAGTTTTGGATTGCTATGTTGAAAATGATTATACTCTGGTTTATTTTCACTATGGTTTAAGAAGCATAAACAAGCCTTCTTTTAAATGGTTGCTGCAGGTTTACAAAGAGCTTGACAGAAAGTTAGTATCTTAATGTTACAATGAATCTTTTTTTTTTTTTTATATTATGTAGTAACTGAAGTAGTGTGCTAAAGTAACTGCACAAGAGTATAAATTAATCTAAAGTAACCAGACAAGAGAATCTATCAATATAACTTTTGAATGAAAAGTCTTATTTCTTTCAAGTTTTCACTGGAATGTCAAAAAATGGCTTCAAAAGTAAAAACAAATTAACTATTTTTTTAAACATTTTTTAAATTAGAAATATTTTAATTGAAGTAGAATTCTTTGATACTTTTTCAGGAAGTACTTTGAATCGATTGCTACTTTACAGCAATGTGGCATTGAGTATACAAGTTTGATAAACTTTTTTTCCGGTTCTTGTTTTAGAATTTCAAATAAACCTTGCTTACTTGCTTCAAATAAACCTTGCTTAAAACCATCATGTTTTCAACCTGAAATTTGTTGATCAAGATATTCCCTTATATGTTAATTTTCGACCTGAAATTTGTTGATCGATGTGTTCCCATAGATGTGTACATGTTGATTTTGTCTTTTGGACAACAATATTTAATCACATCAGATCCAAATAACATAAACATCTATTCATCAATAAAAAGTACTTTTGACTATTGTTCCTTTACCCAGTTCAAATAATCATAAGCAAATTTTTATGCTTTTCAATTTTATGAAAATTTAATATAAAAATTTTCTTACAGGTCTTTTCTGTCTATTTTTCATGCTACTGTATATATAGTATTTTTTAATATTTATTATTTATTAATTACACAGGCCTACAAAAAATTTATTGCATTAAATTTGACACTCATTCTTACATAATTTTGATACGCTGAATTCAAATCTGTCATAAGATTTTTATGGAAAGCCACAGATTTTTTTCAATAAATGTTTTTTTATTTTGCAAAACATTAGAAATAGTTCTAAAATACTGATTTGAAACTCATTTGGAAATAAGTTTCAAATCTGTATTTTAGTTTACCATTTTAATGTCATTGTAAGTTTTTCACAAATAAACAGAATGACCAATTGGTACAGAACCAAAAATATTTCCATTGTATTTATATAACGCATTTCCATTATATTGCAATATAATGAATTTGAGGCTTGCTTTGAGCTATTGATAAAAAGTCTCTATTCTGTTTGATTGTACATAGAATTATCCATCTGTAATAGGAGACCTGAAATATCATGATAGTAAATAAACAAATTGACTTCTGAAAAAAAGTTAAGAAAGGTTTCATCGCTTGTTCTAAAGTAAGAAACTTTTACAAAGCTATTGAGTAGGTTTTCTTCCTTTAAACGTGATGCTAATACTTCTGCTGCTTGCTTAGAAAGTCGTAAATCACAAATGTCATTCAGTTCTATCTGACTAAAACACTTAGACAAATTGAATTATTTAACATTAGATGAGTAGTCTTCAAAATATGGTAAAAATTCTCCTGTTTCTGTAACAGACATACTTTGTTCATCTTCTGACAAAAATAAACTTTTAAAAATTGGAAATGGAGTCTTGTTAGAATGTTGAATCGGTCTAATAGCAGAAGGAATGTTGGGATAAGCTATTTTTGCCTCTTTATTTTGCCTATACCAGTGGTATCAACATGACAAAAATAGCAGTCATTAATGTGATTTAGTAGATTCCTCCAAACCATGGTGACTCAAAAAGGTAAATTCTTTCTTTTTCCTTTTGCCTTATTTCAAAGACTTTTTCACAAATATGGCACACAGTATGTGGAGCCCACTTTTTGTCTTGGTTGGCAAGTTTAATATCGAAATACGATTTATAGGCTAGTTTAAAAAAATTAGTAATGTTTCGTCTTTGTCGAACAAGTATATAGCAACCACATATATAACCGAATGAGTTAGGATTATGCTTGCACTTATGTCGAGTTGAAGAAGCCATCATATTATATATTTGATCTAATAAAAACAATGACATGATTACTTTTTTTTATAACTATTGAATAAAAATACCTATAAAAATCATGATTTTCAAAAAATTAATAAATTGTTTATTGCAAAAAAACTAGAGCTTGTCGACCTTATATTTTGATTCAGCGTTTAAAAATACATAAAAATCAGTTTAAATATCTCATGCAACAGGAAAAAAGTTTTTTTTTGTAGACCTGTGTTATAAGTATTTTTTAATATTTATTATTTAGTAATTATAATTTATAATTGTTTAGTAGTTATAACAAAATTTGAAAATAAGAGTCAACAGTTTCCAATTTATTTTTTAAGTTTACCAATTTTATTTTTTAAGTTTGTTAATGATATTTCCTTTATTCAAAAGTCATAGAGTTTGTTAATGTCTATAACTTTGATTCATATGTTTATCCTTTTCTAAAAAATTAATAATTTATTAGTGTTGTTAAAATTTTTTTTCTAGTTTGTAGAGCTTTCATAACAGCGCATTTTAATTGGTCAAATGGGTTACTTATTATTCTGTGTGTGTGTGTGTGTGTGTGTGTGTGTGTGTGTGTGTGTGTGTGTGTGTGTGTGTGTGTGTGTGTGTGTGTGTATTTATATATACATGTATATTTTTAAAAGTTTGTATTATAATTTTCTTTATAAATATTATAAAGACAATTATTGAAAATTTTTCTTTAAAACCATATTTATTAAAATCAGTATATGTTTCAACCTATCATGTTCAAGTCATCTCTAGTTGAAATGATGTTCAAAATTTATACTATATTACAAACAAACAAAAAATGTTATATATGTACAAAATACAGTTTCATAAAAAACAATAAAAACTATGTAAAATACAGTTATAACCATTAACAAATTTAATAAGATCTGGCAAATCAGATATAATAAAAAGGAAGCAGTAAAAGACTACATATATATATATATTATATATATATATATATATATATATATATATATATATATATATATATATATATATATATATATATATATATATATTTTACTTTTATATATATATATATATATATGTATATATATATATATATATATATATATATATATATATATATATATATATATATATATATATATATATATATATATATATATATATATATATATATATATATAGAAAAAGATGTGCGGTGCAGGAAAGATGTGCGGTTTTTCATCTTGTATGACCACATGAGTATTTTATTTTAGACAACCTGGTCACGGCCATTTGCAAGTTTTACAATCATTGTGGAAAAAGTTTAAAAAAAAGAAAAAAATGAACAAAATAAAAAATAAAAAGAAATTAAAATAGAAAAAAATATAAAGAATTTAATAAATAATTTGTGTACTGTTTTTATTTTTGTTTCTTTAGACTGGTTGTTACATTCAGCAACAAAATTAGAAAAGGCAAAGCAAAAAAAAACAACAATTTTAGGTCTACAATAAAAAGAATGACTTTCCTTTAACTTTTTAATAAAGAGGAAAGCAAAAATACAAATTGCAATTTGTTTTTAAAATATATTTGTATAATTTTATTGTAACAATAAGGGTTGAATTAAGCAATTGCGAAGTGCAAAATCTGGAAAATATCTGGTATTCAAAATTTTTAGTTAATGCAAAGCTGTGTAGTTTGTTTTTAAGGGGCAAATCAACTTAGATTTGTAAGCAAAAAAGTTATAAAAAATAAAACAATAAACTTAAAACTACAAAAGTAATAATACTCTAGTCACTATCTGCATTATGAAATTAATAACACTATAATAGTGTTATTACTTTTATAACGCACTTATAACTTTTTGTAATTCATTCTTTGTTAAAACAATATAAGTAATCACAAATTTTAATTGAAGTAGAAAACCATCTAAAAGAATAGAGTGGATATTCAAATAATATTTAAAACTTAAGTAACTTATAAAAACGTGACAAACAACTTTATAAAAACGTAATGTATAAAATGATTAGCGATATGAAAAACGTTACTAATGGTCCGTAAAAACACCCGCTAATTTTAAAATCAACCAATAAAAATTATGTTGATTGTAAAATTAAAAGCAGAAACCCAAATATTATTAAAAAGGTTTTTAATAATATTTGAGTATCTGCTTTATTTTTTAGATGCTTTTCTACTTTAATTAATATTTGGAATTACTAATGTTGTTTGAACAAAGAATGGACTTTCAAAGTGTTAAGTGCTTTATAAAAGTAATAACACTATTATAGTTTTATTACTTTTTTGCAGTTAGTGACTAAAGTCTATATTACTTTTGTAGTCGTAAGTTTATTGTTTTGTTTTGTTTTTTATAACTTTCTCACTAACAAACTTTTAATAATTTGCTCCTTGAAAACAAAGTGCACAACTTTGCATAAACTAAAGTTTTTAAGACCAGATATTTTTCCAAAGTTTGCAAATTGCAATCGCTTAATTCAACCCTTGATATATACTTGTAACCAGTGCTCGAAGTGGACAAAAAGAAGTTGTAGGATGGTATTCGGTAAATTAAAAATACCATCTTGCCTAATCATTGTTATATATAGAGATTTTTAAAAAGGTAGAGGAATGTATTATACTTTATAAAAATGTGAAGGAATTAGCATCCTGCTGCATCCCACCTTACTTCGAGCACTGCTTGTAACATTAAAATTGTACAAATATATTTTACAAACAGATGACAGAACATTTTCACTTTCCTCTTTTAAAAAAGAACAAATCAAATTTAGGAAAGTCATCTTCTATTTTTCATGTTTAAAACTGTTTTTTTTTTCTTTCTTTTTTTTCGCTTTGACTTACTGAATTTTCCTGCAGAAAATAATGACCACAATGAAGAAACAAAAATAAAAACAGTTCACAAATTATTTAAACTATTGTTATTATTTTCTATTTAAGTTTATTTTAATTTCCTATTATGTTATTTTGCTTTCTTTGTTTTTAAAACTTTTTTCAGCAACGCATTTAAAACTTGCAAACAGCCGTGACCAAGTTGTGTATAATACTCACTTGTAGTCATACACGACAAAAAACCAAACGCCTTTCCTGAGAAAGCTTATATATATATATGTATATGTATATATAT